GCGCCTAACATAGGCCTTCCATTTCCTTTAGAATCGCCAACAATTTCACTAAGTGAAAACTTCAGTAGCTTTGCTTTCTTTTACAAGACAGAATTTTACTTCTTCATCGTGAAACCCTTATGTGCTACCTCTTTCTAACAGCCTTCCAAAATAGACTTCCTCACTCAGATAAACTCAAAGTTGGATATATCCTTAAATATTTATTTGAACACAAGAATCCTTACAAGTTAATTACCTAAGTAAAAGACCAAAGCGGTGAACAAGTTCAGTCATCAGAAGTATAACATTGTCCCTGGTTTTTGTTGGCTGAAGAATTTGAAATTATAACTGTGAATGGTGGTAAAGTTCCCCAAATTTGTAGCCCTCAACTAGAATTTCAGGACAGCAATTCCAAACTTATAATGATTCAAAAATCTTTACAATATTGATCATACATTGAGGTCATGAGAAGATTATGAAATGGTTTGATGCTAGCATGTGTCCCGACTCTCACCCATCAAATAACGCTTAACCAAATATTCCGCATCCCTAAATTCTGGATCCTCAGATTTCCCATCAAAAAGGCAAAAGGGAGCCCAAAAGCATAAAACTGAAGCTTCTAAGCTATAAACCCTACTTAATTGGTATACCTGAGCCCTATTTAATTTTTCCTTTTTTTGATTCATAATAAAATTATCCATAGTTTTAAGGTGATCTTACAAAGATTGACACTGAAACGGTGAAGGGGAGGAATCAAAGTTGGGAGTGAAGCTGATGAATCACCTATCGTGAGGGGGAAAAAACAAAAGTTTTAAGCACGTACAAATCATTAAATGACAGAGAAACAGAGTGCCAGCACATAGATCCAGCTCCACAGAGCAGTGCTTTCATATATGTAAATTAAGATACCACAAAGTTTTGTCTCAGCATCACACAGAAAATGTACCTGAATGACTTCTCTGACTTTGTCTTTTGGTGGAGGATCAAAATGTGGACCAGGCAAATACTTATTGAGATCACTACAACATTTAAACAGCTCAATTTTAGAGGGCATTATAGAATTTTGTCAACTAAACTAGAATGCCTGTTGATGTTCAGAGATCAATTAGTTAATTAGTCCAATTTCTTAAGTAGCCCAAGTGATAAGATGTTATGATTTGATAAGATTCGTTCTTGGTCAGGTTGAGCCGTTTGGCTAACTGGTCAGTGGGCTAGCCCAGTCTATAAAGAGAACATCAGTATAAGCACAATTATTGGTTTGGAGGATCTGTGCTCTTACCCTCTTTCTTTTTTCTTCGAGTAAAATGGGAATTTCATTACTCACAGAATTACATTAAAAAAAAGAAAAAGAAGAAGCAGCATTTGTCTTACAAAAACACATGCCAGCAGCAAAGCAACTATACAAGCGTTTTTGCTCTTTTTCATTAAAGTTAGTATTCATTTTTTTCCAGTTAGCTTTGTGGTTGGGCCATCTGATACATGAACAATGCTAAAAAATCATGAAGCAGATGTCTTACTTGTAAACGAGTAAAACAGCAATATACAGATCTTCAAATGTCAAATCAGCCTTTCCAGATTGATTCATAATACGGTCAAAAACTCGATCTGTTATCTTCCTTATTTGTCTGTGCCTCCACTCCTTACCTGTTTTTGGAGTCAGCATAGTCATAAATCACCCATCACAACTTGTCTTTGACTTAGAATAGCAAAAGAATATTAGATCATCATAAGAGCAAGGGCATCACACTCACAACTTTAATGAAGTGTCTTGGACTTAGAATGGGAAAAAAAAATATTAGGTGTGCTATGGTGAAATGATGGCATGATTTATGGAGTAACAAGTTAGGGTTTCATATTATAGTACCTTCAGTTTGTTTATCTAAAACCTCTTTGTCTTCAATTAATCAAAATACCTTTAGGCGGTGACAGTGGGATTAGCGAAAACAGTGTCTGGTTCTCTTGTTTTCTCTTTTAAACCACTAACTCAAGATTAACTTTCAGCAGAAACCAATTATAAAACTTGGTTCTCTGATTAAAGTAATTTCTCTTGTTTTGCTGTCAATACCTCAGAGTAATCCATACTAACTGCAGTAAACACTGGTAGTACAAAACCCGTCATGCAGAAAAAGGGAAAATACAACAACAGAACTGAATCTGTAATTTCTAAGCAAGTAGCGCAAAGAAAGTTAACATGAATTAGCAGGACACAACAGAGAACTAATAAAGCTTCAAGATTTCAGCCCCAAAGCAAACTCATCAGGTACGCTTCATTTTAAGTTTTAACCATTTATGTTTCCGTCTTTGAGCCTGATCTCTGAGAACAAAAGGACAATCCGCACAAACAGAGAAGTAACAGCAATCGACAAAGGGAAAATGCAAAGGAGGAGAAAGAGAAGAAAAAACTATTCAGGAATCACTGAATCTGCGTGAATAGGAGTAAAATTCTTCAAATGAAACAAAGAAAGCAAATAATCGAATCAAGAAGACAGCCAATTACCCTGAAGCCTGCCCAAGACTTGCCCCATGATGAAACACTCGGTTTTGGAGGATTCGAGATAAGGTCAAAAGCTGAAGGTTTTGAGGAGAGGGCTTCAGGCTTACTGATATTTTTTGATATCTTATTCTTACTACATGATCATGTGGGATTTATCTTTCTTTCATTGTGAGAACCGTCACGTCAAACCTGTTAATTTCTCCCCCAGATTTTTATATATGTGTAAGTTGGACGAAAGACACCAAATTTGTAAACTGGGGACTCAACTATGCCGCTCGTTGTCTGGATCCGTAATGATCGCTCGTTGCATTCCCACGCGGAAAATATAAAATGGAAAAATGACATCTAAGTCGCATGACAAAACATCCAAGGAAATGACTTGGTGCCTTTAATGAAATTAAATTTTGGGCAGATTTACATAAATGCTCTCTTATATTTATAAGAACTTCAATAGAATTTACTAATTGGCTGCTCGCAGTACGCATACGTGACTTGTATCGGAAGGCTAGGATCAGGGTAAAACGTCAGATGTCGGTTGGTGAGATTTTCTCTTATTTAAAAAAAAATCAATAAAGTTTTACTCCAGTAATCAAAAGTCTAACATAACCTTTCACCCGTTTAAAAAAAAAAAAAAGCTTAAGGTTGTGTTTAGATTAGCAGTAGCAAAATTAATTTTTATTTTCCTTGACTTTTACAATGAAGATTAGAAAAAAATTAGTCAGTGTAACGTATATTTGAATTGATTTTTATAAAAGTGTCAGTTTAATAAGTTAAAATTTGTTTACATGATTAATAAAAACAAGTAAGTTTATATGTAAAATAATGAAAATGACATAAATTTTATTAAATAATATATATGCACACATGATATTTAGAGAAATATAAGAATTAAAATTGTTTTTTTATTTGTGTTGAAAATGAATACTACCTCTAATCATTAATACATGACCCATATAATTAATTTGAAAAATTAAGAAAGTTTTTGAATTATTTAATTATAACATATATTATATGATCTATCTAAAATACTTATCTGTATTATTATATTTTATAACAATTTATAAGTGAGAGAAATTACTTTAAAAAAAACTATAAATTGTAGTTTTTATTTTTGCCCCTTCTATTGTATCTTTTCTTTTCCCTCACTTATTTAGAGAATTGTGAGGGGCCACATGAGAAACACGTTGGCCAGCAATTTTCATTATTCACATCTTCACTGCTTGGTTTGGGGCACACTGTTCGTCATTTCTTTCAGCTGGAGGATCCCGACTGAAGCCGGAAAAAAGAGTGGAGAGGGCGAGAGCTTCTGGTCTTCATCTTCTCTAGAAGGTTAGCTTGATGGGCTGTGCAAGGATGCTAGAGATGGGGACTGGTTCATGCTACTGAACCTTCTTCAAGTGCGATTCAGACAGAGAGAGAGGCCGCCGTATTATTTTGATTCTTCTTGAAGTTTGACAAGTTTGGAAGAGCAGAGAGAGAAGGGGTAAATCTATGTAAATAAATACACCAAACGGTGGATTAGCTTTTGCAGCCACCTAACGCTGCCACCTTGACCTTTTCCCACATCTCAACGTGCCGCTCATTTCTTCCAAAAGCTAGATAGAAAGGAAGCCAGTCCAAACAAGCCTTTGACTAACAGCAATCCAAACACAGTGTAATATAACTATTCTCCTTTCTCCATACCTGGAACTGACAGAAACATACAGAAGCTTTAAGTTTGACAATTTATTTAAAATTTTGGTTATTGAAAGAATGCCCGTGAACTATGCAGCCTCCATCTGGTTTGAAGTGGGCTGTCATTGTTATTTATTTGCATAAATGCTCTTTTGAAAAAATGAAAAAAAAAATTGTACCAAAAAAATGAAAAAAAAAAAATCTTCCTCCACAATTGCCAACCTCAGAAACCATCACCATAAATCATTATATGTGCTTGCTTATAGCTGCTTATGTTTTGCTCATAAATATGCTCACTCTCCTTCTTACTTCCTCATGTTTATAAATTACTACTACTTCTCCTTCGTCCTAAATTATAAGACCTTTATATTAGTGTATATAAGGGTATTACATTTAGGATCGGAGGAGTATTAAAAAGCTGTCTTTTTTTTGTTTTTATTTTGTTTTTTGAAGGACGCTGGCTCGGAGAGGCTCTGAGTGAATAAAGCAGAGGGTAAGAAAAGACACTCTGCTTCTTACAAATTCATGACTCTGCTTTTGCGTTTTTCCCCCTCCCTTCTTCCATATGAAGAAGTTGCTTCCCGTGAAAATCAATTTCCCCAAACACACACATATATGACATAAAAGTGGAAGACATTAACTCAGTAGGGAAAATAAGAAATCGAATTAAAGCAACACAAAAGCCCTTCATTTTGTCAACGGGAAGTCGTAAACTTCACTTCATGAGAACATAAAGCCTGGCTCTGAAGTCCTAAGGAAGGCTTAACATGAGTATAAGAAGAAACAGAGTTGAAAGTTTTATTGAATAAGTTGTAGGGAAGTTTAGTTGTTATAAGAGATCCTTTGCAACCAATTACGGAGTGCCACAATTGCAAGAGTGCAAGTGATATACATAGAGTGATTTGGGAATCTTTTTTGCAATCTTGCCAATAGAACCTGGGAGGCCTTCAATAGCTCTCATTGTTGCCAATGCAACCATTGGTGCCACCACCAGAGTCACAATCAGCCCTTGACTTATCCTTATGAATGTATCCTCTGTCATCCTCTTTATGAATTCATAAAACTCATCACGGTCAGTTTTCCCATCTCGATTCACCTCACATTCCTGCATATTAAAACTTGTCGCTCAATCACACAATGTTCTTATACTCACATGGTCTTGCATTAGCATCACAGCAAAATAAATAAATAAAGGTTAAGGATCGTTTTTGCCTTAAAAGTACCTGTGAAGGAACTTGATTTGATCACACAATGTTCTTATACACAAAGTTTTTTTTTTTTAAGATTCGATTTGATCTGAAAGTGTTAAAAAAAAGATGCGATATATATAACCCTTTTCATCAAAAAATTAAAGCTGATTGCTAACATTTTTAGCTTTCAGAGGCGATATTGAGGGAAAAAACTTTTGAGTACCCATAACTTCTTTGCGAATATTTTTAAGAAAATATTAGTCATTAGCCCGAAATTAGTATCACACCAAGAAACTAAAGGATTAAGGACCAGTTTTATCTTAAAATTATTCGTGAAAAAGCATTGTGTCTGGAAGGTTTTCTTTGTGTCAATACCACCACAGAAAGTATTGAAAAATGAGCAATATAGTGCATTTTGTTAAAAAGAAGCTAACATTAATCGTTAACATTTTTAACAAAAATGATGATATTACTCATTTCTTAACATTTTCGTTGTGATAGAGTTAAAAAAAAAAAAAAATTTCAGGTACACATAGTTCCTTCATGAATCCTTTCAAAGCAAAAATGATCATTGACCCGAAATTAAAGGAGTTACCTCCATGACTTGTTTGACTCTATCTTTTGATGGAGGATCAAAATGAGGACCAGGCAGGTGCTTGTTAAGATCACTACAACATATAATTAAACAGCTCAACTAGAGAAGGTATATAAGATATAGCAGAAAATTGTCTACTGGCAAAATAATGATAATAATAATAACAGAAAACTGTCGGCAAAATTTGAGAGAATCATGAAGGAAATCATTAGTTCTTACTTGTAAACAAGTAAAACCGCAATATACAGATCTTCAAATGTCAAATGAGCAGTGTCTTTTTCCTTCTTCAGACCTTCAAAAGCTTTATCAGCTATCTTCCTTATTCTGTTTTGCCTCCACTGCTTATCTGTACACAGTCATTTACAAAACAAGACCATTATATATATATATATATATATATATATTGTATATCACAACTTTGCTAGGTGAAGTGTCTTTGATCTATTTATCAGTTTATTTATTGAAAACAGTTTTTGATTCTCTTGTTTTCAATGGATCCGCGTGAATACCGGTAAAAGACCTTTTAGATGGAACAAGAAGAATAAGAAGGTGTAGGGCATTACCCTGAAGCCTGTCTAAAACTTGGCCCATGATGATGATGAAAGTTGAAACACAAATTGAACACTGCGGCTTTGAAGATATATGTATGCGGGTGCGTGCAGGAACACGTACAGGTAGGTTCTTACTTGTATCTTACTCAAATCAATATTGCGGCAAAGGCACCCGACTTTAATTTCTTCAAGGGATCCATAGGTGGATTCATTGATAATAAGAACATATGCTTCACTGTTTTTAGGGAAAGCATATTTTGTCTGTATTTTTCTTCACTATTCTTAAGGAAAGCATATTTCTATTCTCAATATTTCTTTAGGCAGTGTTTGGGATTTTTCTTTTTTTCTTTTTTTTTTCCTTTTAAATTTTTAAGAATGGAATGAAATGAAGTGAAATACCCAAGAATAATCACTAGGGGCTATTTATTTGAAAGAATTTTTTTGGACGCCTCAAATCGGTGAGGGAAGGACGGAGAGAATGCTTTCTTAAGGGTTTGCATCATTTCATTTGAGTGCATACATTTGGATTCCCAACAACAACAAAACCATAATATAAAAGCTACAACAACTCTATTGAGTTTCATCCAAGTCTTTGGATATATTATTAATTGAAAGATTTCCCTTAATAACTATGAAGTATTCTCTTTGGCCTTATCCTACTCGTTTAGAGGACTCCATGTTATTTGATCAATCTTTCTTACCAGCGCATCCAAAGGCCTTCTTTGCACGTAACTAAACCATCTCAAATAGATTACTACCATTTTCTCATCGATAGCAGCCACTCCCACATATATGGTCATTACAAATCTTATATTTTTTTATATGGCCACACATCTATTTCAGTATTCTCATCTAGACAACCTTCGTGTTATGTTGTCCTTTTAAAGCCTAACACTTCCTACCATATAACATTTGCTGGTCTTGCAGCACTGCCTGAGTCGATCAGAAATTCAGAATCTTGTGCTAGCCGAGTAAAATCCTTTTCTGCATTTGATTGTTTCTCTTGTTTCTGAAAAAGAATAGTCTGCCACGCAGACCTATCCTGGCAAGAATCCAAAACTGGAGATCGCAATCTCAAAGGCTTGCATCCTTTCTCCGCGAGCAAAACCATTGCGATCGTAGGACGATATTTCATTTATGTTGAGTTCAAGGCAGGCTTTGACAAGTTCCTCCCCAACACGTTGAGCAGCTTCAATATTAGAACAAGGGGGATCTTGTCGGATAGATTTCTGCAATGTACTTCCATAGAACAGACACTTTTTGTTTTGGTCATCAACCAGCATTGCATACAACTGCTTCTCTGAGCAAAATACAGAAAGCCTTGGTCTTCTTGGTGTTCCATCAAACTTCTTCTGCTTCCTTCTGTTGCGGATTTTGGCACTTTCCTTTCTAGCATTTGCTCTAGCTTCGACAATCAGTCGATTCTTGATGAAAGCTGCCAAAAAAAAAAAAAATCTCTTCACAATAATAATTATCTGAAGCCTTGTGCAAAACAACACTAATACATTAGTGTCGCATAATCAATTTCAGAATGCAATGAGCCTATAATCATATAAGAAACGTAAACTCCAACCTCAACATAAAATACCAATTAGGAAGGGTAAGTTGTGAAAAACTTACTTCTTCTCAGCGAAAGAGAGGAAACAAGAGGCTTTAATTGTACTCCCAAGACTGCAGAATTTGTAAATCGAAGCGCAGGAACATTCACAAGGTCCATATTATGTACTTATATTCAAAAGGAAACAAGAGTGAAAAGCTGAGATGCCAATGGAGGACTCACTGAACCCTTATCCTGCCAACCGACGGTGATGAAACATACTATGAATAGTAAAACTTGCGCTTCGAGGATACAACGCAATGCTAAGTTTCTCACAGTAATTTCAACAAACACTTGGTGCGCACGTTGATTACTTCTCCCGTAGCATCAAAGTAACACTGTGCAAAAAGTGTTGCTGCAATTTGTCCCTTAAGGCTTCGGCTTGAAAAGAAGACCGACCAATTCTCGTAACTATTAGAAGAGTTTATCAATATTCTGCCGCACCTAGCATGACGTGAACCTCGTTTACTAGCCCCATCACAATTTACCTTTCATTAATCCAATCCCTGTTTGTGGGTGATAATGCTTTGGGGATTCAAGCTGCAGTGACAAATCACCCCTCTTTTTCTCAAATCGCTAGCAATAGTAATCAAAACGTGGTTTGGTGCTTTCAGCACATCTTCCCTCAGCAGACGATAACGCTTGCCCCCAGGTGCTAAAACAGGCCACGACCTTGCGCAGGTGACTTGGCGCACCGCGCCCGCCAAGCTGGACGGAAGATTCATAATAAAGTCCTGGGGGCTGCTTAGTACTAATTGGGCTACAAGGCCCAACATGGCTACCATCTAATCGACCCATGTGACTTGGATTGGGAAAATATAATAAGTTTGACTCCATTAATTATATAATGGAATGCTGCTTATTTCATTAATAATCAGCCCATTTTATTCTACAGTATACATTTTGAGACGTGTCAATGAGAGAGAATGAGAAAGAGTGCGAGTGGAAAATGTCAAGGTCAAACCAACTAATAAACGAAGATTAATCAATAAAATAACTTTGGGTTTCAAAATAAAAGAGACGTTAGAATATAACATTGAGTTTGTTTAAAAGTTAAAAGAAACACTGAGTTTGAAGAGAGATCTACATATAGATTTCGAAATAATTAGAACAATGTGCTATATCTAAAACAAAATTAATACAATATAATAAAGAAAAAGAGATACAAATTCCATTTCTTTTTATAAGAAACAATCTCTCTCTCATACTGCTGTTTCTAAATATTAAAAAAAATTCTTTTTGTCTGAAATATCAAATTAGTCTTTTTATTTTCAGCTTTATTAAATATGTGTTACTTATTATCTCTGCAATAAATTTTCATTCATTATCTCTCATGCACTCTTTTTATAAAGATATAATTAAAAAATATGTGCATATTATATTACATATTTATTGTTTTTAACTAAATTTAATTAAAATTTTAAAATGTGTAATTTCAATAGTTGTTTCTTGTAATAAAGGACCAAAAGAATAATATATTGGCTTGATCTAATATTGGCCGTGGCCAAAAAAAAAAAATCTAACATTGGTCCCAAGGCCAACAAGCATTAATTATGACATCCAAATCACCGAATCTTTTAGAGATATCATCCTTGGAAATTAGGAGACATCTTTTCAGAATTTGGCTTTAGAAAACAGCCATCTCCCATCACGCCCGCCTACATCCACGTGTAGGTTGAAAAGACTTCACTAAAGCAACAAAAATAAACAAATAATTAGTAATAAATTAACCGGCACATTGTACATGTGATGTAACTAACTAATAGCAAGGAATGGACAATTATATTGTTTAAGATTAATCATTATAATATTGATGTTGATTTCAAGACCAACAAACCTGAACGTGCCCCTCAAAAATTAACTACTCTTCTGGTTCTAAATATAAGACTTATTTTGTAGAACAAATTACACTACGAAAATGGTTTTATTTAGGACTGGATTTACACTATAAAAAAAGTCTTGTATTTAAGATTGGAAGAGGAATATCTAGTCAATATATAGCAATTAGGGTATTGATTCTTTCTTTACCTTTTTTGGCCAGAACGTTTATTCCTTTTGATGATATCATCATGACAAATATAAAAATAAATCCATTTAAAGAATCAAACTCGGTTGAGTTAGCATTTAGTTCAAGTTACTTACTATTTCATCACCTTTTCTATTTTTTATGCTATTTATATATGTTCGTTTGTTGAAGTCTCAACACAAACTAGCTTAGTCAAATCCAAGCTGAGTGTTAGTTCAACGACCATTATATATGAATGCTCACCACAAGCAAGGAAAACATATAGTCATGGTCAAATTATTTTATAGTTTATGTATATATGACTCATGCTTTATAATTCTTCCTTAAGGATCTTGAAGCTCGTTTTCATTACTTTTACAATTTTCCTAAAAATATATCTACTATTTAGGGTGTGTTTGGATAAGATCAAAACCATAGTTTCAGAAGTGCTTTTACGGTGTACGAAGTAAATATGTGGAAGAGTTTGCCTCGATTTGCGAAAAAGTGCTTCTGAAAAGTGATTCTTGAGGTATCCAAACACCCCCTTAGAGAAGAAAATGTTGTTGCGTTATTGTGTGTGTGTAAGCGGGAAAAAAAAAAAAATTTGTGCGAGTATCAATTGGAAGAGGGGGAAATTTTCTTTTAAATTCAATCAAAATGCTCAAATGTGAAATTGGTTTGCTAATTAAGTTTAACAACTCCCAAATCTGTCTAAAGGAACCAATTTCAGATCTGTGAATGTTCTTCTTTCACTATATTGTCCCTCGTTTTTTTTTTTCTTTAAGAAAAAAAGCTACTTCTGTGGGTGGTCAAATTGGTAACTGGACAATTTGCCATTCACAATAACAAATTATAGTTACTAACAATAGCGCTTTAGATACTCACAAAAATATATGGGAGAATTACAATTAGCTTACAAAAAAAATTATTAAAAAGTCTTAATAACAACTTAAGTGGCTTGTAATGATAAATTTCAAAGTAAAAAATGACAATTTTTAGGATTTATTTTGTAATTTTTTTTTTGGAACTTCATTATAATTCTCCGAAAATATATTAACTATATACTACCTCTGATTCTTAATATAAAAGCTAATTTGATATTCAATTTAGCTTTAAATATAAGACTTTAATCTATTTTATCTCAAAAAATTTATTTATTTTTTTAAAGTAATCTTTGTGGTAATCACACATGTTAAATATTTACATCAAATAAAAGTTCTAACTAATACACATGATTGGTATTTTAAGAAAAAACAACACCTATTCATTACAAATAACTAAATTAATTAATTTTTAATCTAATCAAATTAGTTAATTAGTTCTTTTATATTAAGGATTGGAGATAATATGTGTGTGTATTAACAACTTCAAGCAACATTTTTACAAACTAACTTACAAAACTTCTTGTATAAGCCAATCACAACACATAATTAGCTATTAATAATTCACAAAAGCCAATTAACTATTTACAAACTTTTGACTTTTGGTCATCTGACTAGACAAGATTTACTGTCTTGTATAGGTTCGTTGAGATTTCTAACAGTCGAAGGCTTATTAGACCACGTGCTGAAATTCTTTTGCCACATAATAAGAGTATATAATTGAAGATGCATCTTTTCCTCTTTTCCTTTTTTTTTTGGATATTTTAATTACCCAAAATCCCATCATCCATTAATTTTTATGTTAATCATCATTTAATTTTTTAATAAAGGTATTGATAATTACAATGTATCTCTGTTGCTTAATATAAGAGTTAGTTTGATTTTCAATTTAGTTCTAAATATAAAACTCCAAGCTTCTTATATTTGTCTATTTTTTTCAAGTTAGTTCTTATTGTAATGACAATTCTAACTAATACATTTAATTAGTATAGGTATTTTATGAAAGACAACACATGTTTATTGCGAATAACTAACTTAACGAATCTTTTTAACCTACTTAAATAAGTCAACTAATTTTTATATATTCAGGATAAGAGGTAGTATATAGATATATAATGTTCCATTCGTTCGTGGGTGTTCGAATATTTCTTATGATGAAGAATTTGAAGCTTAATACACTAATGTCATTATCCATTTAGAGTTGTCCCCTTCACGGGGTTCCATGTGGCTCTCACTGAAAAAATCGGGGAAAATGGTCCCATTTTTTTCAAAAGAAAATAAGCTGACATAAAAAATGGGATTACATGTAATACTATCTCCTATTCTTAATATAAGAGTTAGTTTGACTTTTAATTTGATCCTAAATATAATACCCAAATATATTTTATCTCTTATATTTATCTATTTTTCTTAAGATAGTCTTTGTAGTAGTTGCACATGTTAAATATCTTATCAAATCATAGTCTTGGTTAATAAATATGATTAGTAAAGGTATTTTAAGAAAAACAATACCTATTTATTGCAAATAACTAATTTAACTAATTTTCTTAATCTATTCAAATTAATTAACTAACTCATATATATATATATATTAAGAGTCGGAGATAGTATTTAGATTTGGGGATAATCTTGGTTAAATGCAACGGATCAGGAACACTATATCGTTTTGCTTCTGTTGCTCCCCGCTTCAGCTTTCCCTTCAACTCTGCAGCACCGCCGGCACCATTTCCCAATCGGCAATAGTCGCTCCTTGCTCTGCTTTGCCTAGCAACTTTAATTGTATTATGATCTTTAAATTAAGTACATTAAACTTTGGGCTAAAGACATTTTTTTATTCAAAATTTTACCACCATCCCACCAGCCAAATGTCACTTCTCCCCAAAATCGTGATAAGTTTCTGTATGATTTTCAGGAAAATCTAATTGGAAAAGGGGGGGAAAAAAAGCAAAACAAAACAAAAATGATAGCTTCTTCATCGTTTTCCTGTTCTCCTTTGGCGTTTTATGATGGCTTCAAGTTAAAGGGAGTCCGAGTGAGTTACAGTATCAGGGTCACCCAAATAGTGAAAAAGCTACTCCTCCAATCCTTAAGATAATTCTTGAGTTGATTTTGTCCTAAATATAAAACCTATTTCTCATATTTATTAATTTTCTCTAAATTACCCTTATGGATACTCCCTCAACCATAATCAAGTAGAAGAGGGAGAGAGAATATTAAGAAAGATGATTATGGTGTAAAAAGAAAAATATGTCATATTTCTTATAATTAACTAATTTACCTAACCTCCTTAATCTAATTAAATTAGTTAAATACTACCTCCGGTTCTTAATATAAGACCCCGTTTGACTTTTATTTTGGTCATAAATATAAGACCTTAATCTACTTTGTCTCTCATATTTATACATTGTTTTCCAAAATAGTCCTTCTAATAATGATAGTTCTAGCCAATACACTTGATTACCAAATACTACCTCCGGTCCTAATTATAAGAGCGAGTTGACTAATTTGAGGAGATTAAGAAAATAAGTTATGTTAGTTATTTGTAATAAATAGATATCGTCTTTTCTAAAATATCCTTACTAATCAAATGTATTAGCTAGGACTATTATTATCAGAAAGATTACTTTGAGAAAAAATGCACAATATGAGAGACAAAGTGGATAGAGGTCTTATATTTAGGACCAAAATAAAAGTCAAATAAGG